GAATCAGATCCGCTTGACGGGGTCCGAGCCAATAGTTTTCCGGCTCAGCCCAACACACCTCACTTCGAGTTTGATTGGGTAAAGACACTGTGGCTCGGAATTGTGTTCTCACGTTCTGCCCTACCGGAGAGATACCGAACAGACCGATGGCGAGAAGAAACAAACCGATTTGTATTGCAGTAATCGTATACGTGAATACAGGTCTGTTGTACACGGGAAAAAGTGGGGAATGAGACCAATGAGAAAAAAAACTTGCGATTGGATTTGAGATAAACGCGAAGCGGAACAAAGAAAAAAATTAGAACATTCATAGTACACAATTAAGACGGAAGTTAAACTGTGGCTGACAGTTAAGAACTCCACTGAGCATGACACATGCGTGCACAGTCATATTTCAATGTGAATGCGTCCGCTAAAAGATGAATTCATTAAACCATCACTGGGATACTGTACCTTGAGGCGGTCTGATGGGTTGCGTTCCTCAATGATCCTGCGAGCTATACAGGATAGCTTCTCACAGCCGCAGATCCAATCATGCCTGAAAGGTCAACGGGTAGAGGCCAGACAAAGACCACTCTCACAAGCCCAGCTGCTTGGACACCTCCTGGCTTCCTTCCTCTATCCACACCCACCCCTGGAGAGGCCACTCCAGCACATAAACACAGTGAGGGGCAGTTTACCGGTCAAAAAAACCCGCTAGATAGACGTAGCAGCGGGGTACCTGAGGCTTCCTCTCGATGGTGGGAGAAGTATTCGCACTTCATTGGACAGCTACCGTCCACCAAGCTGGCCAGCCCCCAGCCAATAAGGTGCTGTCCCGTCCACGTTCCGCTTGTCTCATTGGGTGCATGAGGCTAAGGACTGATCCAGAAAAGCGGACTGATAATCGATGCACCAGCGAACAACAAACTTCACCGAAATTCAAAGGCCTTGCGTGACAGGTCTCTAGAAGCTCCCACACGGGTGCTTCATTCACGCTCCCGAGTTGAATTTACGCCCCAGTGCCTTGTGGGTCAGGCTTTTGAGTCAAAGGCTCCGGTTAGGGTTCCCAAAGAAAAACCCCTTCGTCGGTGTGGACTACCGCGATGTATCTCGTGCCCTAAAGTCTTGGACACCCATTCGGACAACCATCTTTCCCAACTGTCTAGTTCTTCTTAACCGTGAATAATCCTCGCACAAGAAAGGTCATCGGCTAACATGGAAACCGCCAACCTCTTTACTGCGCTGGACCCAGATTGACCACATTACCATCAGTTCCCGCGGAGGGGATCAATTCAAGACAGCCGCTCTTACTGGTCAACACTTGTGGATGTAGACCACGCCTCGTTACCAGCCGAATTCTCCGTACGCCTGGAACACAAGCGAAGAAAAGCCATCGACAACTGATACATACGGTACAATGTCAACGATTGTTTTAAATCGGCATTCGAAGCGGAGTTCTCCGATCGCCTGTCAGTTCAACTACCAGCCGAAGGACTCAATGAACACTGGAGGCAAGTAAAGGAACCTATGCAGATATCGATAAAAGCAACGTCGAACCCTGCTGCCAGCTCAAAACACAAACGATGGATCTAGTCGACCTCGGCTGCTATGCTGGACGCCCGTAGAACCCTTCCTCCCGACGCCACATACGACAACGCGATGATGGCTCAACGTTAGTCTTGGAGTTGACAAAACTCCTGCGTTCCATTTCGTAAAGGGCAGAGGTTCCAGCTGAATGGTGTGAATCGATCATACCGATTTACAAGAAAGGTGATAGATCCTCTTGTGAAAGTCATAGAAGAATTAGTTTAACGAACATCGTCTCTAAACTTCTCACTGGCATTATACTCCGCCGATTGTCTGCCGCACGCGAACGGTGCACGCGTGAGAACCAGGCTGGTTTTAGACCCGGTCGAGGTTGTATCGACCACATCTTCACTCTGCGCCAAATTCTGGAGCACCGGCATTCTTTTCGTAGACCTACCATCTGTCTCTTTCAATTTGAAAGCGGCTTTCGACTCAGTCGACCGCTCTAAACTCTGGCGCGGCCTTTTTCTGAAAGGTGTGCCCGAGAAGTCAATTTCAATATTACGATCGCTTTATACTAATAGCCGAAGTCGAGTCCGGGCATACGGCACTCATTCTCTCGAGTTCATCACGGAAAGTGGTGTTCGCCAGGGTTGCCCTCTTTCACTTTTTCTATTCAACTTCGTTATAGACCTGATTATGGAAACAGCCCTAACTTCGTGCGAGGATAGTGGGATCGATGTACTCCCAGGTGGCAGACCGTCTGATCTAGAGCACGCAGATGACATTGTGCTGCTAAATAAACATCCAGGTAAGTTGCAAGCTTTTCTGGATAGTTTGAGTTCTAGTGTAGTGATGTTCGGTATGCACTTTGCTCCTTCAAAGTGTAAATTGTTGCTACAAGATTGGGTTGACCCAGTCCCCAGACTCACCCTAACCGGGGAAGTTGTAGAGAAAGTAGACAAGTTTTGCTACCTGGGCAGCTATATCACACCTGGCGGACGCATCACGGATGAAGTGTCGGCGCGCATACAGAAAGCTCGGTTGGCATTTGCCAACTTGAGACATCTGTGGCGCCGTCGCGACATCCGGCTGTCTGTGAAGGGTCGAGTGTATGCTGCAACAGTACGGCCAGTTCTGCTATACGGTGCAGAAACTTGGCCATTAGAAAAACAGGATAAGGACAGACTGTCGGTGTTTGAACACCGCTGTCTACGCAGCATTGCACGAATCTGGTGGGGCAGCCGGATGAGCAATGCTGAGGTTAACGGCAGAGTTTTGGGGTATCCGCGGTCGTCCACTGGAACAGGTAGTCGACCTCCATAGATTACGCTTGTTGGGGCATGTGTTACGCATGTCACCAGGTAGGTTACCACGGCGAGCGATGTTCTCCGAAGCAGATACCGAATGGAAAGAAGCCAAGAGTGGTCAAGCTAAGACCTGGCATAAGGGTATGAAAACCTCAACCAGGAGACTGGCTCACATAGGTCTCGTTAGGCTCCCTGGTTGGGGACCTTTGGATAACCGTAGCCGATGGTTAGAGGCACTGAGTGATATGGCTGGGTGTCGCAAACAGTGGTGTTCGTGCATCTTCTCAATTTCTTTGCAACCTTAGACTACTGGACTTCTCCATTTTCTGTTCGACTCCACTTGCAACTTTCCTTTCTTCTCCTATTTTTCATCCAAATGGGCAACCAAAACCAGCACACGAAAGTGCATGGTTAATGGTTGTACAAACTGAAACTAATATCATGGAAAAAAGCTTGAGAATGCAGTACATAATGGCAGCCTCAGCATCGCATTTGGTTCTATGCTTTGCTTATGTTCTCCTAAAGGCCCAGTCAACCGATTCCTGCAAGGTAGCAGAGTTACAGCGTCAGGCTTATTGATTGGTAGAAGTTAAGCGCGCGTCATGATGCTCTTCACGGACTACTGTGGTTTTGTACTGCACAGAAGGGTCACATAGCATTCGAAAATCAACCACGTTCTCCGACATCACTCATCGTATGTAACCGATGACGCAGTAAAGTAATGCACTCAGTCCTCATTCACCACCCCAGTGACCGTTGTTCTAACACGGTTCCGCATTAGGAATGAACAGGACTACTGATTATTCACAGGTATCATTGTCTGATGAGATGACGCGCTCATTTGTTGAAGCCCTAAGCATCACTAAAATCTAAATATTTAAATTCACGTTACCGTCTGATTTAAGTGCGTAGAGTGTATTTTCAGTCTTTTCCGCTCCTTACTTCCAACGGACTCTGCTATTCTTAACGATTAACCTGTATCTAGAATGATCTCAGTGAAGTACCTAGGTGTCACCATCGAGAGCAATCTTCGTTGGTCTACATATATTTACAACTGTGTGGGAAAACTGAGACGCCTATCTTTTCAGTTACGCAAACTCAGGTAATTCTGAACCCCACATATACATAAATATGCATATATCGGCACTCAAAATTCAGGCATTCTATTTGTAAAAAAATAGTGCAGCCATCCATTGAGTGCCATAACACAGCATACAAAAAAACAGTA